ACATGGGGGTGACTCCAATCTCTATCCTTGATGTTCAACTTGCTTACCTACATATACATATAAATAGTGAGCTAGGGTCTAGTGAGTAATAACAGAATAAAGAAGTTATATGAATGAAGTTTGATAACATTTCAAATATCAATTTCTAGTTCTATTCATATCTCGATATCAATAGCTATTTCAAGCAATTTACGTGGCACATCCAATAAAGTAACAATGCATCAATGACAATGGGACCACAAGGGTCAATCAATGGGACCACAATGGATCATTCAATATTCCATATTCAATGTGACCACGTGGGTCTAATATCTGAGATCTCTGTGTTTCAATTAATCCAATGGGCCATGGCATTGTTTCTCCTGGGCGAGGGCCAATGGGCCATGGTATTAATTTCTCCCAGGCAAGGGGCCTATTAAACAATTGGGCCATGGTATTAATTTTCCTCAGGCAAGGCCCTATTAAACAAATGGGTCATGATATTAATTTCCTTCATGCAAGGGCCTCACTAAAGGATGCCACGAATACAATTTCAAAACAGAACTTCATTCATTCATATAAAATAACATTTCAATAAATCATTCCATCAATTATCATAACGATTTCGAGAACAATAACTGTTTCGAAAATAAATATAACTTGAACATATCTTTATAAAGTTACTACTCACAGTGGGTTATGTTACCCCTAGGCCTCGAACGTCTACCTAAACAGAACACATAACAAATACACAATTGAAGCACCATTCAATAACCATTTCACTTCAATTTAATTCTTCTTATGTGTTTCTAACTCATTCCATCGTTATATGAGTCCAATTGGTGCCTAAGAGTGCTTGAAATGATATGAGGATGCAAGTATGCACTTAAAAGAGTTGACTAAAATTTGTTGAAAAACAGGGTCTTCGCTTGAGCGCAACTTTGGTCGCTCGAGCAATCTACAAAACTCTCAAAAGTGCTGGTTACTTGATTTTTAGGCTTGAGAAAACTTTCTGTAGCTCGAGCCATGAGTAGTGCAAAACAGGGTTTGCTCGAGTGCAAGTTTTGCAGCTTGAGTCGCCGTGCAATTGTCTGCAAAACTTATGGGAGCTTGAATTTTACGCTCGAGCAACACTTTATTCGCTCGAGTGAACTAGTTGAATTCTGGAAGTTCCATAATTGTGGTTGAAGCTCAAAACATGATTCCAAAGGCTCAAAGCTTGCAAGTTTGGTACAAAAAACATGGAAGAACATTATAGAATATGAAAACACTCTCACTTTGAAACCAATTACTCAAAATCATGAACCAAATTCCTAAAATCAAGCTTAAAATATGAAGTTGAAACCATGCAAGAAATGAACTCTTTAATCTCTTTGTAAAACTTGACCAAATGATATGAAAAGTATAAAAACATGAAGAATGCTTCCAATAAATGTATGAGAGTCCCATGCATGTAGAGAATTTCATGGGATTCAAGGTCAAAGTGGTGATTCACGCATGTATGTACATGATCATGCTCAAACTTTCCATAACTATGATGATCCTAGCATATACTTACTAAATTCATGCAAATTGTCTCAAAGCTTGACGAACTCATACCGAAACACACAACTTAAAATTCAATTTAAAACACTTTTCAAAACTCATTACAAACTCTATTTCAAAACTCTATTTAAAAAAAAAATTCAAAAAAATATATTTTTATTTTGTTTTTTAAAATTATTTTTAGAATCATGATTTGAGTATGAAGTTGTGTTATGAGTTATGAGTTTTGAGTTGAGTTTTGAAAAAAAAAAATTTGTTTGGTTATGAGTTTTGAAAAGAATTTTGAAAAGAGTTTTGAGTTGTATTTTTTTAATGTGCATTACATTTCATACAATTGTGCGCCGTATTTTTTAAAAAAATATTTGAGTTGTATTTTTTTAAATATTTTATTTTATTTTATAAATATTTTAATTTTTTGAATATTTAAATATTTTTGAAAAATTTGGATCACCATATATATCTAAATCAAAACAAATTATTTGGTCAATACTTAAAAAAATAACAAAAATTATTTTTCAAAAAATAAAAAAATATTTTGAAAAAAATATTTTTTCAAAAATAAAAAATAAAAAATAATTTTCAAGAAAAAAATAAAAAAATATATTTTTGAATTTTTTTAATAGAATTTTGAAAAGAGTTTTGTTATGAGTTTTGAAAAGAATTTTTGAATTGAGTTTTGAGTTATTCGTTTGTTTATAATTTGAGTGTATGGAGTTGTGTTTTGAGTTTAAAATATTACAAAAATAAAATATTCATAAAATAAAATAAAATATTTAAAATAAAAAAATAAAAAATATTTAAAATAAAAAATATATATTTAAAATAAAAAAATAAAATTTTCTTAAATATTTTTAAATATTTAAAAAAAAAATTAAATCTAAATTTTTTTAAAATACAGTTTAAAATTTAAAAACTCAAAACTCCAATCTATTTTTAAAACTCAAAACTATTTTCAAAATTAAAAAGCTCAAAACTTTTTTCAAAACTCATAATCAAACAAATTTTCTCTTTTCAAAACTCATAACCAAATAAATTTCTCTTTTCAAAACTCTATTCACAATTTCACACTCAAATCATGATTTTAAAATTAAACCAAGCAAAGCCATTATTTTTCCAAACTAATCCAATCCAATCAAAACAAATAGGGATTTACGCATAGGTCATAATAGGTAGACTTTATTGTCTAGTATGTCCTATGATAATTAATGAATTTTTTATTTATTTATCAAATACTGTTAAAAAAAGTCACTAATTGTTAATTTTCAACGATAGTTTGTAAAATTTATCATAAAAAGGTCACTAATTATAAATTTTAGTAACAATTTAAAAAGATTGTCACAAAAAATACTAATTTTTAACTTTCAGTGACAGTTTGAAAAATTTGTTACATAAAAACGTTACTAATTGTAAGCTTTAATGACAATTTATAAAAATCATAACAAAAAAAAGTCACCAATTGTTAATTTTTAGCGACATATACAAAAAATCATTGCAAAAAATAACTTTTAGCTATAATTTTATTATAACTTATTTTTGACAAGAATTAATGAGAATTAATTCCATGGTGAAACACCAATAAATTTCAAAATATGATCTTGTGAACGGTTTAGTCATCCTTTTTTTTCTTATAAACCCAAGAGTCTCATTAAAATAGAAATTACATGAAAAAGGTAGTCACTTACATGTTTGGGTTTAATTTTTTTAGGGATAAAAGTAATTTTCTTAAAATGTAAAATTACACATTTGGGCAATTTGCACTATAGAAGTTTTGGATTTCCCTCATTTTATAACAAATTGCACATTACGAACAAAAACCTAAACTCTAATGTAACACTCCAATAATGTAACACTTTAATGTAGTATACTAAAAAACTCATTAGTGTACTTTTTTCACATGTAACAACGTAAACTCAAAAAAAATTCTTTGGTGTACTTTTCCCAAACGTAACTCTTCAATGTAAAAAAAAAAATTTCTTCGTGTACTTTTCCTAAACGTAACACTTTAATCAGTATAATCTCAAACGTAACACTCCAATATAATATACTCTAATCTAACACACAAAAACATTAAAAAAAACTCCTTATCGTACTTTTTTCAAACGTAACACTTACAGTTTCAAATTATACATTTGTTTAAAACTTAGTAAGGAATATTTATACTCCTTTTAGAATGGTTTGAAAAATATCATATTTTTTTTAGTATTACATTGGAATGTTACGTTTAGGAAAAGTATAGTAAGAATTTTTTTTTTTTTGGTATTACGTTGGAGCGTTATGTTTGGGATAAGTACACCAAAGAGTTTTTTTGTGTGTTACATTAAAGTGTTACACTAAAGAAATTTTTTGGAGTGTTATATTGAAGTGTTATGTTTGGAAAAAATACATCAAGGAGTTTTTTTGTGTGTTACATTAAAATATTACACTAAAGAGTTTTTGTGTGTTATATTAGAGTGTTACACTAAGGAATTTTTTTAGAGTATTATATTAGAGTGTTACATTTGGAAAAAATATATCAAGAAGTTTTTTTGTATGTTACATTAAAGTGTTACAGTAAGGAGTTTTTGTGCGTGTTACATTGTAGTGTTACATTAAGAAGTTTTTTTTGTGTGTTATATTAGAGTGTTACATTTGGAAAAAATACACTAAGGAGTTTTTTTTTTTGTGTTACATTAGAGTGTTACAATAAGAATTTTTTTTGCGTGTTACTTTAGAATGTTGCACTAAGAAGTTTTTTTGGAATGTTACGTTTGAAAAAAGTACAATAAAGAGTTTTTTTTTTTTATGTGTTACATTAGTGTTACGTTTGGATGCTAATTAATATCAATGTTACAATAGGGGTGAACACCACAAAAAGGAACGAACAATACACCAATAACACTACAAACGAGGCAACATCATCCACCTACAAATCACTCCACTAAATTTCCACAAAAAAATAGAAATGTAAAAACCTAACTTACCCATGCACACCCAACCTTAAGAAAAGGAAAATGATTTGGAGCCCTAAAAATACCCCCTAATTTCCAATTTGGGCAACTTTTTCCTTTTTTTTTTTTTTACTTGATATGGAAATTAGGAGAATTAGGGGGGCTATTTTTAAGGGATGTAGCATGACCCTTAAGAAAAAATTTCAAACAAAATCACATACAAGGACAAACAAGTAAACTTTCAAACCCCCAAACCAAGGAAATACAACATACCCAAAATAAAAAAGGACTAATTAACTTGAAAGAAAATTTTTAAGACTAAATAGAATAACTTTTCTATAAATATGATTTATAAATAATTTTTTTCTTAATTTTAACTATTAAAATCAATTCCTTATTCAAAAAAAAAAAAAAATATTAAAATCTATTGATAATTTACGTAATATTATAAACAACCTATTCGTTTTTTTATTATTATTATTTTTTTTTAACAAGTCCTAACCTATTCCGTTTGAATTCATTTCCCAAGCACATTCCTCGTCTATTTGTCGTCACCCCATGAATTTAGCATTCCTTTTTGAATTTTCTCTCAGACAGCTATTGGACATACTTGCACTCCTACACCCCCTATTCTCTCTCCCTCGCTTACACGCTTTCCTTTCTAAACTGCTTTAATTTGAAACAGCCACTGATTGCGAAACCAGACGAGACCAACTATTTTCTTATTATTATTATTTTTAATTTTTATCTAGAGGGCAGCAAGGTTTTAAGACCTTCGCTGTTGGGGTTTGTGTGGGATGCATTGATTCAGACACGATCACTAGGTATTTTCTCTATGTACTTTTTCGTGTTTCTGTTTCTGTTTCTGGGTCTTTTGATTTTTTATGATTGTTTCGATTGTTGCTGAAGTTTGATCAATTTTAATTTTCTTCTTGGTTGACTTTGATTGGAACTACTCTAGATCTGTTGTTGAATATTCACTCCGATGGTTGTTTTAGGGTTTATATTTCCGATTTTGCTTTTGCTTTTTTATTTATTTATAATTTATTTTGATTGGTCTGATTAATCTCGGTGTTAATTTCATTGATGGGAATAGAAATATCAATCTGAAAGAGACTTGTCGAGTTCTATAACTAGATGAAGGTGAATGAATTCAAGTATATATAGAAAGAGTAAAACTAAATGAATAAAAAATTCATACATAATAATGGTATTGTCACATTTGTCAAATTTTATGTAAGTATAGAATTTTCCATATAGAAATACTTGACCTTAGGCTTTCAGTTCTTCATTGCATGTTAATGTGATTTTGATGTCAGTGCTGATGATTCGTGTTCGAATCTTGTTTTTTTTCCTGTCAACTGCATGAAGACGTTTTTGAGAAAATTTGATAATTAGTATCTTTGACCTTTTGGATGTTGATGCTTTGAGGTCTGTTGAAGGAAGACTGATGAATGAATGATTTTGTGATATGGACAATTGATGAACATAGATTAACTTCACGGGAATCGTTTGATCTATGGACATGAATGTTAAGCGTAGTGTTTTGACATGGACATAGTTTCACATGTGAATTTCTTACATGTGTTTGCATGTCAGCTCATTTTTGCATCTTTGAAACCATGTTTTTTTAAACAACCATAGTTAGTGAGAAAAATAGTAGTAATAAATCCATATTTAATGATTCTGCGGCAAAAGAGTGCATGTGCATGTATGAAGGGGTGTGTTTTTATTTTTTTATGAACCTTAAATATTACAAAATGAGTTCTCGTAATTTTATAGAAGTGTTCTAAGTAATTTGTCCAAAATTTAATCTGTTAACGTAAGTTGATGATGCTATCATCTTGAGTGGAGTTATATATATATATATATAATAAAGTTCCTTGGTAGCAGTATATTTATTTCAATTGACAAAGTTTGTTGACACAAGTTCCTAAAGATCCAAGGTTGTTAAGATCGCGATCCGGGTTGTAGGATCGTACGATCCTATGGTCCAATAAATAACATTCGATCTGATTCGTATTCTGGATCAAGCCGATGATAGGATCGTGGCAGGATCATTGGGATAGACAGGATCGTATCAGGATCACGATTCCATGCAATCCTGATTAATAGGGTTTTTTTTGGCAACTTTAAGTCAAACAAGCCTTTGTTGGGATAAAAGAAGAAAAAAAATTGATCCTTTGAGCTGTGATTAGGGCAAGAGAAATTGGGGATGGAGAAATTGGACATCAAAGTTTCAGATTTTGTGTAACCAGGAATGCATCTTCTTCGAATTCCTTCTCTTGGTTTTTTTTTTTTTTGGCTTTTTTTTTTTTTTTTTTTGGCTTTTTTTTTTGTCTTCTTCGTTTCTTCTTCTTCATCGCTGCTGGTCTTCTTCTTTGCTGCTCTTCTTTTTCTTTTTCTTCGTTGCTCTTCTTCGAACCTTTCTTGTATGTGATCGATTTTTCGAATCTTCCTTGTATGTAGTTCGAATCACCATTTTTTCTTCTCCCGACTTCTTTTTTCCTCCTCTTCTCTCATCTCTGTAGTTCGACTGTCTGTTTCTGTATATTATATATATATATATATATATATATGTGTATATATAGTGTACACAGATGTTGTCCTGAACATATGAGAGACTGAAAACCAGAACTTTGAATCCCTTTTTTTTTTTTTTTTCTTTTTGTTTTTTCATTTTTCTTACTTCTTTTTCTTCTTCATTTTTTTTGGTTCTTCTTTGCTGCTGCTGCTGTTCTTCTTTGGTTCTTTTGCCCTGAACTTTGCTGAAAAAATAGTTCTTTAAATTTTCACAATTTGCAGCACACAACTAGCATAGTAGCATCACAACACAATGTTAGCCTCTGGTTCAGGAAGAGGGAGGCTGAGGAAAAATGCTGCTAGAGAAAAAATTTCTTTTATAATGTTTTGGCTTCTTTTTTTGAGAAAAAAATGCTTGAATGCTACCTTGAACGGCTATATTTCTTTTTTTTAGGGGGCATTCTATATACATTTTGATAGTATTACTTAGTCATATAAAAATTATGATGTTTTTTTATCACTTTAGTAGGATCTTACGATCCTCGATCCGGTCCTATGATCCCATCTGGTAGACCCTCAAAACAATCCTGTGTAGGATCCTGATCTTAACACTATTAAGGTGTCGTTTGGTGACATTTACAATTAAATTTTTATTTTATTTTATTTTGTATTAAAAATAAAAACGAAAGGAACCTGTTCAGTGTACACGTATTTTAAAAACCTTGGTTTGAAAACAAGTGAGGAGAGGTAGAAGGCGGTTTCCAATGGGAGGTGGTGATTGAAAGTGGTTCTCGACGATCGGACATGGTGATTGGAAGTGGTTGTTGGCTGCTAGAGGTGGTCACTGAAGGTGATTGTTGTTGGTGGGAGGTGGTTGGTGGTGATCAAAGGTGGTTATCGATTGCTGCCAGCAGTGGGTGCCAAAGGAGGTTGCTGGTGGGTTGGCCGGATGTGGTGATTGGTGGTGGGATGAATAATGGGTGGTGGCCAAAACAAATGAAACCAACTGTTTTTTGGTTACAAGAAGTTAGTAAATTTGTAAATTGTTTATAAATTTTTATAAATAAAATTAGACACCAAATATGTTTTTATTTACAATTTTTGAAACCAAACATGCTCCAGGTATTCACATTCCCCCCAAATGTGTTGACCATGGGTGATATTTTATGGTCCAGTCCAATCCATATGTCAAATTTGGAGAATAATACAGAAGAGATTACTATTCTTACCCAAGTTCAAGAGCTAAATTAATTGATGCAAATCTTGTTTTACATGGTTAGTTAAAATATTTATTTTTCAGAGGAGATAAAAATTTTGTGAACTAGTACAAAATCATAATTGTCTTATTATTAGTATGATTAATTACATTTAACACCCTTGCTCTTTTACTAAAATTTCACTTGGTCCCCTCACTTTCATTTAACAGTCAATCCTTACACACTATGAAGCACCAACATTTCAAAACAAGTACCATATCCGTGTCGGACATGCGGACACGGCGGGGACATGCATGTGGCGTGTCCCCTTATTTAATTAATTTATTTTCAGGGGAAACGTCAGGAACACTTTGGGACACATAAGGGACATGCCAATTTTTCTTTTCCTCCATTTTCTTTAGTGCTTTTGATGAATAGAACACTTTGGGACACATAAGGGACATGCCAATTTTTCTTTTCCTCCATTTTCTTTAGTGCTTTTGATGAATATTGGATGTTGAATATTTATTATTTTTTTCTTAAATTTAAATACTCAATAGATTATCCATAAAAATATATATAAATTGTAAGTGTTAATTTAAGTGTTTTTTAAATTTATATTTAAAATATAGTATTAGAGTTAGTTTTTGTTAATATTGGTTGTTTGTGGATATAATATTAATCTAGATATCAAATAAAAATATATGAAAACATATTTTATTATAGTGTCCCTGCCCCCATGTTTTAAAAATTGCCGTGTCCCATGTCCGTATCCATGACTGTGTCCGTGCTTGCTAGCTTACACTTCAAGTTTAAGTTTAAGTTTAAGTTGCAATATCACCCTTCTGTCTGAGGTTGACAAAAATTAATAGTAGAGGGACTAAAGTGACATTTTGATAAAAGTATAAGGTTGCTAATGAGACAAGAAAAATGTCACATATGATTCATATGACAAGTTTGTCAGTCTTATTAAGGATAGATGGACGGAAGGATGACATTGCAATTTGATTTGAAGTACAAGGGGTTGACTATTATAATTTGAATTTGACAGACCAAGTTAAATTTTTGTATAAGTGAAGGAGTGCTAAGTGCAATTAACCATTATTATTATTATTATTAGGGTGAATTACTCTTTTCACCCACCAACTTTCATGCAAATTTCACCTTGGTCCCTCATCTTCTAATTATAGCAATTAAGTCCTCTAACTTTAAGCCTTGTTTTGGTTTAATCCTCCTGTCACTCACTGTTTAAAAATAGATGGAAAGTGCTTACTTGATGGTCACGTTACCACATTTTAAAGGCATTAAAGAAAAAAATTACACTTTTCAACCTCTTAGTTATACTAAAATTTTAAATGGCGTGGTGATGGGTGAACTACATTAATTGAAACTCGACTTGAAGTCTATAAACTTAATTGTTTCAATTAAAAGGCAAGAGACCAAAGTGAAATTTAGGCGGTGAAAAGTATAATTTACCCTCATTGTTGTTGTTGTTGTTATTGTTATTATGATTATTTGACTGGTAAGTTAAGGACACTTGAACTTGAGTCTCTTTATTAGGTGAATGCTGCCTAAGCCCAACAGGTATATCCCCTAGGGGACATCAAAATATTATTTTTTGGTCAGATGAGTGTGTGGGATTGTTATTCTCAGCCATTTAGAAAAGCGTTTGAGCCATAGTGGAAAATTGCTCCTAAGCAACAATTTGTGGTGAGTGTGCCTGAAAGTGGAGCAGTCATTTGGAAGGCTGAAATGAGAACACTGCAAAGTTAGATGGCTAAAATCAACAACATTACATTTTATGCAAATGAATTAGTTACGTGTGTAGTTGGTATTTGTAATTTTACTGAAGCTTACATGCTAAATATAATTTGAACACCTTGGCTTTGTAACAATGCATAACCATATCTGATTCATGGATGAAATGAAATAATAAAAGAATGAAATTGTTATTTGAGTAATAGAAGCTTAGGAATAAATATATTGAAAGAGAAGCAGATGGCAAAAATTCGGGATTAAAAGTTTCAATTCTATAAACGCCCGAAATATTAAAGGGGAAATTAGGATTAAATATACATGTTACTGATAAGTCATTCATAAAAGATACCGTTGATATATTTTTAATACCTTGTATATTGAGTTCTCTTTAATGGCGAAGCTACTTGGTGGAAAGATTATATATGTCAGGATGGTCTTATCCTTTTATACAATGTTTAAATATATGTAAATTTAATCGAATACAAACCATAGTTTATAAGAATTGGATGCTTCCAACTTTAAATTTGTAAATTAAAGTGCATGATATCTTCAAAATTTATGGATTCATCTTTGCTATACTTAGATCTGAGATTTTGAATAATTACTTAGTTTAGTCATTGATGTGATAAATTTTTCTAGGTAAGAACTTGGCCGCTTGGAAAGTTGCAGTTTTGAAGTGTGCTGCTACTTTTATAACTGAAAACTAAGTAAAATACAATGAAATTGGAACCTGACAGTGTTTATTATTGTTGATGTAAATGGTTTGCCTCATGGAAAAATGGAATTTAATTATTGAAGTTGTAGCCAAGCCATGTATGATTTCCTTTTACCTATTTACTCATGAAGCCATGGGATTAGCTGTTGCTACTTCGATGATTCTATTAATTTGATCCAGGAAGCTGTGTAACTTTTTTTGTATTGTTGTCTTTTTTTTTTTGTTTTTTTTTTTGGAGACATTGTGTAACTTGCGTTCTTGTCATATTGAGTATATTAATCTGATTAGTGGAATTGATAATGTAAATGTTATCTTGTATGCTCTTATTGTCATTTTTATAGATCTCATATGTGTTCATTTGTACAAGTTTAGATGAGCATTAACTTTGTCAATTTTATATTGGCATTTGTGGAGCAAAGTTTGCCAACGAGCAATGGCAATTGGAAATGCTTATTTTGATGACATCAGGAGTAAACCCGAGGTTGTTGGTCCTCCTCAAAATGAAGACAAGATGGATGTTGTTGAACAAGTGAATGATCCTGCTCAAATTGCTTTGAAACCTGCTGTGACTGTTTCCAGCGGTGTTCGTGAACTATTGGAATGCCCAGTATGCTTAAATGCTATGTATCCTCCTATTCATCAGGTTGGTTTACTTAAAAAATTGTTTAGCATCCAAAGTCTTTTTCCTGCTATGCCATAAAAGTTTTAGGAAATCACATTAATGTTGATGTTTCAGGTTTCCACTGCGTTAATATATGCCAGCCGATAATTGATTTTGTATTCCTAGTTTACCTGAAGTGTAATTGTTTCTAATTGATTCAATAGTTGTCACCTATGTTGTTATAAAGAAACTGTTAAGATTATTGGTTTTTAACTCTCATTAAGTTTCTGAATTTGGAGATTCATCATCTGAACTTTTGGGCTTTCCTTTAAAAATGTTTTATTTTTTCCCTTGTTTTTCCCCCATTATTTGTTCAATATATATATAAATTAAATTTTCTACCTAATGTATAATAGATACATAACTGCTTCCTAGCTGTTGACAAGCTTGCTAATCTAGACGTACTATATTGGGCTAAGAAGCATGGACACAGACACGACACGACACGCAGGCACACAAATTTTCAAAAAAATGTAAGACACGACACATTGGGAACACTTGCAAAATATATACTCTCTCTGTTCCATATTGATAGTAGTCCCTTATGAAAATCTTGAACTTTTTAAGGAAGCATAATCATTAGGGTAATTCTATTTCCACACACTAATTCCTCTTAGTACACACACTTAATGAATACCTTCTCAATATACATTATAAAAATATAGGCTGTGTTTGGAATGATTTCCAAATTATGATTCTACCCCCACATTCCAACATGATGTTTGAATAGTATTCTCAAATCACATTTCCACAACATTTACAAAACTCTGTAGAAAACTCTATGTGAGGTGCGATTTTCGAATTTTTTTTTTTCAAATTTGGCCTAATTGGTTGTTCCATCGGTCGTCCGGCTGGTTGACCGGAACGGTGCAATTTTTTTTCTTTTTTTTGCAATTGACATATGTTAATTTTTATATATTCAAAAAAAAATATTTTCCGAATTTTTAATTTTTTTTTTTGTGTTTTAATAGAACTTTGAGTTGTATGTTTGGTTATGAGTTGTAAGTTTTTGTATCAAATATCATGTCACATCAAAAAATTTTCCACTCAATTCAAAACTCTTTTCAAATCTCTTTCACTAAACAAATTTTCCACACTCAAATCATAATTCCAAATCTCACAAACTCAAAATTCAACTCCTACTCTCAAATCATAGTTAGAAAGCTCTACTAAATACAACCATAAATTCTTAGTACACATCTCTATATTCCAATATTACCCTCATTTTCAATTTTGAAACCCTAACACTATGTTTGGTTTTAATGTTTGAATCAATTTTTTGAAATTTTTTTGAGAAAATTATAAATTAATTTGACAAAAACAAATATCAAAAAAATATTTTTAATTTTTTTTGCTCCTAGAAAGATAAAACCATATTGAAATGAAAAGTTTTTATTTATTTATTTTTTAAAACATATTCTAAAACTAGATTAAACATAGCCTATATTTTTTTTTTAATTTTTTAATTCACCCACTCCTCTTTTATTGTTGTTACCACCACCTTCAACTCTCCATTGCTACCACCACCGCCACTTCTAACTTATCCCCTTCCATTCTGGACCTCCGCAGTCAACCTTGAGTGGTTTGCAGTGGAAGACTTGTGCGAGTGTATGATTCATGGCAGAAAGTGATCGCAGGCAAAGAGGGAGAAAGAGGCGATGGGAGGGGATGGTGAATGAGAGAGGTGGCGTTGGCTGTAGAAAATGGTTGTGATGTTTTAAAATTAGGGTTTGGGTAGAAGAAGATGAGAGTATTATGGTATTTTTATTCTATGACAACATTGTATTAATGAAAATTTTCATTAAGAGTGTGAACTGAGGAGAATTGGTATGTAGAAATAGAATTACCCCAATCATTACACTTTGAATCCAAATTTTAAAAGATTAATTCCAAAAATACTCTTCTATTCTTGTTTTTTATTTATTTTTTTAGATTAACCCTTCTATTCTTATTTTTAAATATATTTATAATTATTTTACAAGGGGTAGTTTTGGAAATTTTTAAATGTAAAGCTATTACTTTTCAAAGTGGACATGTATTTTGGGACGACAAAAAATGAAAAAATGGACCAACAAAATGGGACGGAGGGAGTAATTTTTAAAATTAATTATGTCATATTTTTAAATATTTTATATTTATTTTATGGAAAATATTTAATTTTCTCAAATTTATCAACGTTAGATATTCTATTTTAGTAAAAGAAAAATTAAATTAAATTATTTTTTTTTTAAATTTTAAATATGGTCCCCAGCATGTCCCGGCATGTCTGCAAAGTGTCCACAGCATGTCCGACATATGTACTGATTCATTATTTTGTGTGTTTTGTGTTTCATTCATTTATTTATTATTCTAGGGTTGTTATGCACAACTATTTGTCCAAGCCAAACCGAATGTCTGAGTATGGTTGGTATGAAAAGAAGATAATTCCATTGTACAACTGTTTGGTTTGTAGTGGCTTTTGACTTGGTGCCCAATGGTTGCAACTTTAAAAGAATGCTTCAAATTAAATGTTAATGGAGCCGTATGTTATAAGCAATTGAGGAGCAGTTTGAGAGAATATTGGTTCCTCTCTCTCTTTCCCCCCACCAACTCGCTCGCCTTGTTCTTTTATTTTAGTTATTTATTTATTTTAATAGGGGTATGAGTTATCTGTGCAAAGCATGGCTTTTGATAGTGAAGCCTTACCCGTGACAGTTGAGATTCATTACATGGATATTTTTTTATTTCAACATATCAATAGATTGATTATGATGAGATGTTATCCAAGATTGATCCTCAAAAAACAATGGGGTTTTGCTTAGTTCAACTGCTGCACGCTTATTACTCCTTAAAGAATAAGTTTCCAGAGAAGTTGTCTTTTTTGTATGTCCTATAGAATATTTTTTGTACTATTTCTTACTGTACTGCTGTTTTTTGTCCCTTTGGTTTCAGTGTTCAAATGGTCACACATTATGCTCTGGGTGCAAGCCCAGGGTGCACAACCGGTGCCCCACTTGCAGGCATGAACTTGGCAACATAAGATGTCTAGCTTTAGAGAAGGTGGCTGCATCTCTTGAACTTCCTTGTAAATATAAGAGCTTTGGGTGCATGGGGATCTACCCATATTACAACAAGCTAAAACATGAATCCCAATGTGTATTCAGACCCTTTAACTGCCCTTATGCTGGATCAGAGTGCACAGTCATCGGTGGTATTCCGTACCTGGTGGCCCATTTGAAAGATGATCACAAAGTTGACATGCACACTGGCAGTACTTTTAACCATCGTTATGTCAAATCAAATCCTCGTGAAGTTGAGAATGCAACATGGATGCTTACGGTATGACTTAAACATCATTGCTTTCTTTCATGTAGTTACCAGTTCAATTGTCTTATCCCATCCCTGTTTGAATGAATGTTCATCATATCACCGGATTCAATCTCCAGGTTTTCAGTTGCTTTGGGCAGTATTTTTGTTTACATTTTGAAGCATACCTGCTTGGGATGGCTCCTGTGTACATAGCTTTCCTGCGGTTCATGGGTGATGATAATGAGGCAAAGAACTACAGCTACAGTCTAGACGTTGGAGGAAACGGGAGGAAGATGGTTTGGCAGGGGGTCCCTAGAAGCATAAGGGACAGCCACCGCAAGGTTCGTGATAGCTTTGATGGTCTCATCATCGAACGCAGCATGGCCCTCTTCTTCTCTGGAGGAGATCGGAAAGAACTAAAGCTTAGGGTGACTGGAAGGATTTGGAAAGAACAGTGAATTGTCCTCTTCTTCTTCTTCGACTTTATTTTACCATATAGGGTACTATTAGTAAGTAGTAGATTAGTTTCTTTTAGTAGTAGCAGTAGCAGCAGCAGCAGCCCCTGTAGTCTTCTGGTCATATGTTCTTCATGGATTTGAGGCAAACTCCCTTTGCTTGTCCATGGATTGCATGAGCAGCGGGGAAGATAATATGTGATTTTTGCAATGGTAGGAGGTAGGGGGTACGGAGTAGGGGTTTTCCTATGTATTGGTTAAAGATATGCTCATTTCGTGGTGGCGACCGTTAGTTGTTGAAGTGTGTTTATAATTGGGAACTATGAGGGAAATTTTTTGAATTCAGTCACTGAACCTTGCAATGTGACTCATTAATCTACTATAATGCCGTGGTGGAGACTAGAGATTGGACAATATTATTAGTTTTACTTTTAGGCACTACAAAGAACTATTTTTGCATGGATTTTTATATTTGTTTTAGGAGTAAAAATCCTGGATGCCCCTTGACGTTTGACAAAAATACACCTGACACCCTTGCATTTCAAATTTATCACTGTCACCCTTCACATTTAGAGTGGAAGTTGTATCATTTGAATTTGTATAGATAAACAGCCATTGTTAAAAAATATATAATATTATAACGTTTCCATAGAAAAGATTACAAAAATAAATGATTAATTAAAATTAAAAATATGATGGCTGCCTCTCTTTTTTATTCCAAAACCCTTAGTTATAAAATCAATGAGAGCACAGGAATAAACATTAGCATTCTTAAGTTTTGAATGCTTCTAATATTATGTGAAAATACTTTATTTGATAATTCTTTTCCTTCTTCAATACAAACCTTAGCCACCCACTATACAAGCGATTCTGTCACGACCCCAAACCGCCCCTAGTAGTTTGGCGCTGTGATGGCCAGTAATTTGAGATTACCGAAGGCCAACTTTTAAAATTTACACACAATCAGAGTATAAATACATGGGGCTCACAAGTGCGGAAGCGATAATTTAAAATACAAGTGGTCCATAAGAGCAGTGCATAAGTTAAATGAAATGGCATACATCTTTACATATCTTTACAACTTGAATACAGTTAAAATAAAGTACAAAAATATATGTTACATCTTAACAAAAGGGTCTCTCAAGCCGACACGTTTAAATACAAAAGCTTCAAGATTGCCGACATCCTTGCTGCCGGCATAACATGCATACAAAACACACATCTCGGCGTAGCTACCTACATACATACATAGGGAGGGTGAGCTTGGATACTCAGTGAATGGTACAAGTAATAAACGTTTTAAATGAATGATACCCGAGATCTTTTTAAAACAATATATAGTATATCCTTGTCAAAACCATACATAACATAGCTTTACTTGACTTGAAATAAAACATCAATCAAACCTTGGTCTTTCAAAACTTGCTTACTTACTTAACATACGTCAAATCTTAAAACATAGGGTGATGACATCCCGGGCAAAACAAAGCATGACCTCGGCATCGAGCACACTCGTTCATAGTCCGTCGGTGGCCGATATCTTAACAAGGGTGCTGCTTAGGCTTAACGTCCCCTAGCACGAAAGGACGGTGCTACCTAGGCTTAAAGTCCCCTAGCATGGAAGGACTATGCTACATAGGCTTAAAGTCCCCTAGCACGGAAGGACTTGTGCCACAAATGCTTAAAGTCCCTTGGCACGTACGGACTATGCTACCTAGGCTTAACGTCCCCTAATACGAAAGGCGGTGTGACTTAGGCTTAACGTCCCCTAACACGAAAGGACGGTGTTACTTAAGCTTAATGTCCCCTAACACGAAAGGACGGTTCCAAGAATGTCATCCAAAAAAAAGCTTATACTTGATACATAAAATAGGGACATCATTCATGCTTAACAAATACTTTTATCAAAACAAGGCAAAGCTTTATCAAAACTTTATAACATAGCTTTATTAAAAATACCACTCACATTAGTTCTTGAGACGTCGGGATCAAGGCAAAGGTCCAAGTCCTACAAACACATGGCAAAGCACACTAAATGCACTTCTCAAAACAAGTCTTACATGCAGGCAAATGATCTCGAAAAAACATGCTGGAAGTCAAAACACTGTTTTACATGTCAGGAAGACATGCTGGGTACCAACCAGGTCTTTGCCGAGGTCCCACACCTCCTGGCCGAGGTAACCTAGGCTTCGGCATGCGGCTGCATGCCGTGGTGCGCACAAGACAAACTAAAGGTGTAAGTGGTCATGCAAGGTAGGCCAAGGTGAGATACGATGCTTGGCCTAAGTGTGAGGTCTAGGTAAGAGTGATCTAGTTGGGAATAAGTTGGTCTGGAGATCTGCGTTTCCACCCTTGAAGAACAGGAAGAACATGAATATGAAGATCATGAAGAACATGAATGCTAAAATCAAAACTTCTTTATTTATAAAATCTGGGATTTCATGCTATGAGTTCGAAAACGTGGACCTGGGTACCCATACTTGAAAACCATGTGAAAACAAACACAAAAACATGGATCTTGGCATGAACTTTCGAATCAAATCATGACTTTTCTTGAAGAACACATGAATGCTATTTTTTGTTTTTAAAACTGAACTTCAAAGCAATACATGGCTTACAAATCATATTCAATCACGCAATGCAATAACATAAACATAAAGAACGACAAGAACAGATCAAGAATCTAACCTTAGAACACGGATCTAACGGTTCGATCTCTAGGGATCAAGTTTAGAAATCCACTCTCTCTCAAGAACTCTTCTTCCTCTCCTAGAGCTTCTCTCTCCTCTTCAAAACAAGTATAGAAACAAATGATGGGTTTTCTCTCTCTATCAGCTGACTTAGCACTCAGCTCGGAAACGTGGCAACGGCTGGTTGGTTCTCCTAAAAAAGGTGATAGATTGACAAGACAAGACTGACAAAGTGTATCTAACAAGCTACTCGGTAAGGCACTCCGGCAAGTGATGACGTCGGCTAAGAACAAAGCTTCGGCAACTAAGGTGACAATGACCTCGGCTAGGAAGGATAACACTTGACTAAGCTGTGCCACACCTTGGCCTAGATGTGCCACACCTCGGTTTAGGTCATACCACTCCAGGACAAGATCACTTAGGTTCAAAGGTAACATCTCGGCCTAGATAATACACATCTCGGCCTTGGTGATTCACACCTCGGCCTCGATAATGACATCTCGGCCAATATGTCAGGGCGAAGGTGGAGGTCAAACAAGGGGGTTCCGAGATACTTCTAGACTGAAGATGACCTCGGCTTGGAATGATCTAGGCGTGACGTAACCTAGGCTTGGCATAACTTCGGCTTAACATAGCAGGGAAGGGGCAAAGCATGCAAGCAACACTTAGACATAACACATAAAACACAAAGCAAGACGAGATTCATGAATGCAAACTTAACAAGACAAAGTTATGTAAATGAACATGAACATGACTACAACATGAATATGGGTTGCTATAGCAATCTTAACAAGGCAAAATATATAAATGCATGCAAACATGACTAAGCCATAAATGTGGGTTGTTACAGATTCTCTAGAGTTTTCTTGTAGTTTTTCAGAATGGCGTCGTTTTATTCACATTTTGAATAAAATGATGTCGTTTTGCTTAAGGGTTAAAAAAAACAAACAAAACAAAATAGAACAGAGCAGAATGTTTACGGTAGAGACAACTCACTCCAACGCTTCTCTCTTCCTCTTCCTCTTCCTCCTCTTTTTCTTCTTCCTCTTTCAAATCTTACGGTTTACAGAGGGTGCCCATCCTCCGCTCCCATCTGACTCTCCTCTACCCCTTCCATCTTTCCTTCCTCTCTTTACCCTGTGCAAACAAAACCTCGATGCCCTCATCTTTTTTGCAATCGCTAGCACTGACCTCTGCAAACCCTTCATTGTAATTGCTGCCACCAAGGTCTTTCCTAATTGATGACGTTGCGATTTGGGTTTTGGGGCATTGATGGTTTTGGGAGGGTGATGTTTCCAAATCTATGGTTTTGGAAATGGGAGAAGGAAGAAGAAGAAGAAGAGGATGATAGAAGGGGGTTTACGAATGTTGGGAGAAGTGGGAGGAGAAGAAGAAGGAAGATGAGTGGCATGCTGGAGATGGCTTCGTTGGCCGAATGCATCGCCAGAGTGGGCAGGCAGTGCATCTCTGCAACTCTATTCCATTTTTTTTTAAAATCTTTTTAAACCCTTGTCCAAATTGATGCCATTTTGACAAACTACATGAAAACTCTAGAGGATCTCGATGCACTGTACAAAGAGCACTCCTAACGATGTTTTACATGCAATGGAGAAGACCAATTGTTTGACGTTTGATGAAGAGCACCCCAAAACCCTAATCCATTATGTGGTGATGCTTTTTTTGGAAAAACTCTAACCCACTTTGATGTGATGCTTTTTTGAAGTACATCATTGAAAATTTAGGGAAGGACCAATTTTTATTTTTTTTTTAAAAAATTGTTTTATTATTATTTTTATTAGTGGTTTGTTTGGGGAAAATCCAAATTTTGGGTTTTAGAATGGCTAATTTGCCAGGGCATGTGTTGTTGAAAGGGTAATAGCAGACACTCCATTTTCATCAGCCATAAGAGCATCTCCAACGGTAGTAGGCATTTTACCTATCTAAATATTACTATAAAGTATATATTTTATTTTGCCTATTGACTGTTTTATGTTTTTACTCCAACCATGCTCTTTATTTTAGCTATTTATCCAAATATTATTAATTTTATAGAATGCCACGTCAACAACAAAGATGGAGGGAAATGATCCTAATGATTGAATACATTTTGCCTAACATTGAAGGCTAGCTACATGTAGCTAGTGAATATGAGTTGAGGCAAAATGCCTAATCATATGCCTAGTGCATTGGAATTGAAAAAAGTGAACCACACTAGGCATTTTAACTAACAAGTATTATATGCCTAGTGCATTGGAGATGCTCTAAGACTTGGATTGGTGCTTCCCAAAGATGAAAAACACTATTGAACAGCTAATGGGTCTAGTGGGCCACAATTTCCGTACACATCAAGCTTAAGACCCTCAAAATTGTTCTCCATTTGGTTAAAAAAATATATTTTCAAATAGGAAAGTAGGCAATCGGTTTACATATTTGATCAATTTTGGGTTCCAATTTTCATTTAAATCAAGTTTTATTTAAAAAAAAAAAAACTAAAAAATGGCCAAATGCATGAAATGAAAGAAAAATCACTAAAAAAGTGGATTGCAACACAAACCCAAGTGAACCCTATCAGAACTACATAAAGCCTAATTCTCATCATGAGGATACGTAGACAACTTCATATTCGATGTCCTATGTTTCATGATGTTGATTGCTTCTTGTCAGTTCAGTTCAAGTCATTGACATGTTCTTACAGAGGGTGGACTGTGTTTGTGTAGTTTGTATGGGATTCATTTAAGATTGTTCGAGGAATAATCATTGAAAAAAATG